TCTACTAGTTACCGCCGCGGCAACCGCGGGCAACCGTCACCACTACAGGCGTAAAACGACGCGGGTGAAAACCGCTCCGTGAGTTCTTAGTGTATCGAAAAATGAGTTTCAGCGCCATCTAACGTGTAATAGTTAGCTATTATATACTAGTAGTATTTTTACTAAAACGCCACCTGTTGGTGAATGACTAAACCAGAATGAAAACATTACTGAAATATTGTGATATAACTCTTATTCAAGTGATTGTAAGATTAATTTTGTTAAATTTTAAAATTGTTTTACGTCATTTTCACGTTTTAAGCCCTACCCAATCAAAATCTTTAAGTTATGGTAGTAGATAATATAGCGTAAAGTTTTAATTGCACACAAGCTAAAAAGTGGCGACATCGGCACCCGATCTTACATAGCGTCATTACATATCTCCCTTTTTTTCTATATCTATCTATGGTCGTGTTGGACGGGTGTGAATGTCGAGGGCGCAGTATCGTGCGAGCGAGCACTGCGAACACACCTCCGAAACTAAACTGTCAGTTTAACCATTCTTAAAAACGTAATGTAAACCAATAAGTGTTTTGTAAAAATAAAAAAAGGTGTAATTATTTCGTAATCCTGAAAATTGACCCGGATAGTGACGGCTGTATTGCTTAGCCATCCTCAGAGCCGTCATTAGACGGGATCAGAACCTGACTATCACTGGCGCGTAATGTTCGAGATGTAGCAGAAGAATATGACGTAATTGATCGAAGCTATTAGAACTCGCACCATACATTTACTCTCCTCTAGCCAACGTTTCTACATGGCGACCCTGCCATATAAGCGTGCGCTTCGCGATCGGACGTCATGGGATCATTTTATGAACTTAGATTAATTTATGTACGCGACACCGGGAATTTGAACGTTTATACTGCCCTCGTAACGAAAAAAGGCACAACTATGCATATTTTAACTGTCTCCGTGGCCGAACGGTTACCATGCCGGACTGCGACGCAGAGGTCCCAGGTTCGATTCCCGGGCCGGGAGAAATATTTGTATGACCTACATTTATTTCTCTCGTGAGTTTCGGTGTAATTTGTGGTTGTCTATGTGTGTGTACATGGCACCCGCGACACAGGGTTTCCCTAGTGCGGGGCTATGTTGAGTGTGTGCGTTGTTATTATTAATGTTATTATTATTTATACAGCAGTTGTGCCTTTTTTTTTTTTTTTTTTTTTTATTTCTTTATACGTACATAGTGGAAAAGACAATCCAAGCAAGAGGAAATACTAATTGACCAAAATGCTGGCGGGGGCGGACGAAATCACGCGAACGGTGCTATAGATTATGGGATTCGCTCTTAAAATGTGTTGCTGTATATGATGCTTGCTGTTATGGTGTTGTATAATAGATGTCACGAACAATTGATACGCCGGGAGATTAACCACATGGTGGTCCAACGAGTAATGTTGCGCCGGAAGCAGACTGAAGTCACAGTTTAGAAAAATACGAGCAGCAGTGACGTGAGAAGCAAGGTAGTGAAGTGCTAAAGGTACTCGAATTTTTAATTTGTATTGCCGATAAATAATTATGTAGTGAATATACCTAATTATTAACTAGATAATGATAAACTTACTCAACCTTATTTAAAAGTACCTATCCAAAATATTAACATTTTAAGTGCTTTTAATATATATTTTAAATACATTTTCAATATTACTCTAGTTAGTGAATTAGTGAAAAAATATAATATTATATCGATATAAATAACTAATGATCATGTGTAATTTTTAAGATTCTATTAATTATAGATAACATATTCGCGTTAGAATTTTCGCTATGTTGGCGCTCGGACCATGTAACATAATAATACGAGAAAGAGATGGATAATCCTGCCTGCCAATCCACGCACACATTTGCGCGTATGCAAATAGCGCCTTGTTGTATGCAGTAGTAGTAGGTAAATAACTTTCGACCGTTGTATGGAGTATCCGAGGTGTGCTCTACAATCTCGCAAAGGCACACTAGTACCCAGCCGACAAGACTGGTATCCACCAGAGGTCACCTCGACGGTTCTGGTAGGGGTGGCAGTTGGTACAGAGTCAGGAGGTAGGATAAATATCATGATTAATAAAGACCAGCAGTCAAGTTTGTCCCTAGAAACCGACGCCCGCCACATTTGGAAACTTGTTTTCGAGCATTATAATTTTATAGAAATCATGGAAAGACTTATAAAAGTAAATTTAAAACTAAATCTCTAAAATGACAGTTTTTAAAAGGGGAAATATTATATCTTGCACCAGACCCAGAAAAAAACAACTGTGCTGAAAAATTCAACCTCCACGAATGCAGATGAAGTTAAACGTTTTGTTGCATTTAGCAATTATTACCATACATTTATTCCAAATCTCGCACCAGTATCTGTACCTTTGAATCAGCTTAGTCGAACAAATCAACCTTTTGAGTGAAATCATTAGCTTCATCTCCAATTCTGGAATACCCTAAATTCGAATAAGCATATTATTATATAATTTCTATTGCAAACAGATGTATCGGGATTAGCCGTAGTTGCAGTATTGTGTAATGGAAATATGAAACCAGTAGCTTATGCCAGCAGGCCACTAAATAAGGCAGCGCGAAACTATCACACAATTCAAGAGGAGCTTGTGGCATAGTATGGGCGATTAAATACTTTAGGCCTTATCTATACGGGTAACATTTGACAATATTGACAGATGACAACCCACAATTTACTTATTTGGCATGCGAGACTCGTCGAGCAGATTGTTGAAATTTATGATATAAAATACATAAACGGGCAGGATAACGTTATAGCGGATGCATTATCTAGGATAGTTATAACATTAAAATGAATTAAAAAGTATGTATGAAGAAATTACTGTAATGACAAGAGTGCTAAAGAGGAGAAAGGATTACATGGATTTAGATATGGATGAGACACGGATATCTAATAAGTTCATTAACGAAAGGTCTGATCGGCCAAGAGTTGTGGAGTTATTAAAGAAACCGTCTGATTACGTAGAGATGTTATTTATAAAAGGCGAAAGTATAGAGAAAATGGATGAATATCCGATGAATGTCAATGCTTCGCGTATGATAAAAATAATGAAATAATATACATAAACCTCAATAATATAAGCCACATTTCTCGCGAATCGAATTTGGGACAAAGTGGAGTAGTTTTTGCGAGGAAAATAAAGTAGAAAGAATATGCGTATTAAAAAATGACGCATAATAAATAAGATATGCGAAAAAATTAATAATATAAAGAAATGGACCGTTTTACATTTATGTATTTTGAGAGGTATTAAACGATTTGATAACGACGACAAAACGGGTCATTTTATTGATAGACGCAATAAATTGGATGGACATCAATGACTTGAATATTAATATAAGTAAAACCAAAGTTATGACATTTAAATCTTATAACTCAAATCCCATACCGGTTAAAATTAATTGCAACGCTGATATTGTAGATTAAGTAGACACAATTAACTTTCTTGGGTTAACAAACGACATGAACCTGAACTAGAGGGAACACATCTAACAGATGTTGAACATGAACCTAAACAAATTTGTTTACGCTCTACGAAGTCTGTCTCGTGTGAAGCTGCTTTGACAGCCTATCACGGCACGGTCTTCTACTATGGGGCAACTCAGTAGTCTTAGAAAGAGCGTTTAAAGTCCGGAAGAAGTGTATTCGAGCAATTTGCGGCGTGTGGTTCGAAGACAGTTGCAAACCGCTGTTCAAAAGGCTAAACATATTACCTTTGCCATGCATGTACATTGGGAATATCTGTGTATTTGTCAACTCTCATCCTCAATATTTAAAAACACACGGTGAAGTCATTCAAAGGCATACTAGAGCAAAAATTATGAATCTTTTATACCAACCTCGTTGCCACAAAGTAATTTATAAGGATAACTGCTTCAACATGTATATAATTATTTATTATAAATTACAAAACGAAATTAAATTATTAGAAGGACATACTTTTAAATTACAATTGACAAAATGACTTTTGATACCTTGCTTCTATAGTAATAAAGAATATTTAGAATTTACAAATTCATTATATTAATTAGAAACTATAGAGACTAAACATTAAATCCCATCAATATTTGCACATCTGCTTGCAGGTTGAACATAATGTACCTAATTTTACTTAAGACCTATGTAATTCCTGTGTTCTGGCAAATAAACTTATTCTGTTCTATTCTATTCTAAGATATACTATGATTTAGTGGGCCCCTTACCAAATGACTATGAAGGCAATTGTTTAGATGTTTGCTTTATAAAAAAATTTGGACTTATTTTAAGGTTTGGCCATTACATACCATTTAATCGCGGTACGGAGTTCATTTCGTCAACAATTTAAAAGGTGTGTAAACTTTTAGGTGTAGAAAGACTCATCAACCCCTTACCCCATCAATCTGTTGGAGCCCTAGAAAACATGCATAATGCAAGCATATGGGAGTATTTCTACGAATATACTGTGAACAAAGATCTGACTCCTGGAGTTATTGGTTACCTTATGGACATTCAGTTTCAATACTATAGTACATACTAGTACATAATACGTATTTTGTAAAAATCAACAAGGTGTAATTATTTCATAATCATGAATCATGAAAATGGACTCGGATAGTGACGGCCGTATCGCTCAGCCATCCTCAGAGCCGTCAAATATAATAATAGAGATGGTCATTTATAAACAGAACTAACATATTCCACCTCATGACATCAATTTTATTTGTAAGTCTCAATCGTGAATGTTCATTTTTAGTACCTATCATGGGTGCAACTGCGACCAGTGGCAGATTCTACAAGTCCCCGCGACAAACGTTCGCGTTCGAGTTGTCGCGCCTGTTTTGATAATCATATGCAAGTAAATAAAAGTGGTTTGTTCTTAGCAATAACATATTTTACGTTTAATTTTTTTACACCTTTACTAATCCACCAAATGAAATGTGCTTCACTACAGAACGTCAAAGATATTTACGATCTGATGCTTCGTTCCCTTCAGGTATCGCGCCGCGTCCGGCTGACAAGTCGGCAGAAACTTGTCCAACCATAGTGGCCGTAGGTTGGAGCATGGAGGGAGCTTTGGTCATATGTGGCACAAAGCATTTCTGCCTTGGGCACGGCCCTTTAGCTATTGGACCAAGCTTAGCACTGCAGAAAGATTCGTTGGTCTTGGAACCTAGAAGTAATTGTATTAATAAGAACATATTAAATTTATTAAATTATCTTCCCTGTACTATAATATTCGTAGAACTAGTCAATAGAAATAGTGGGAACGAACGTGGGACTTAAGTTAGGCACATGATTTATTTCTTGTAAGGCTTATTCAGTAGATTCTACCAAGTTTTATTAATCAAAATACTCGTATATTGCATTTCAATGTTCATTAGGCGTATTGGCCAATAGGCGTAGAGGTGAATAATATATATGCACGAGCCCTGTAAGGTGGGGTCGGGCTCGGCCTGCGGCGAGTGATCGGTTTCAGATTACGGGGTGTGCTTATGCTTTTCGGTGTCACAGCGGTTAGTACTATGGGCGCTTGGTGAGGAGGTTCCAGATTCGATTCCCGATTTAAGCCAATTTATGAAGTTGGTTCTGGTCAGGGTATTCTGGGTATTGCCCTCAGAGTTATCGTTCCTCTGGTACTCATAGTACAGGAAATAACCTAGTTTGAGATCAGAAATTTGTGTGATTGTAATTTTTTCCCTAAATACTTCTTTTTGACATAATTCCAATAAAAAATTATCTAATAGAGAGACGGTCGCGATGCAACAACGCTATAGGTATCTCATTTTCAATACATCAGGAAGAAAGCCTTACATTTTGAATAATTGTGAAATCTTGTACTCGTAATAGAGTCTCCGTATACTACCCACGGTGACGTCCGGATGCTTCGGCCTTCGCCTTCCGCTGAAACTCGGCCTACGGCCTCAGCACTTTTGACTTTGTATTAAAAATTAACATAGTCTATAATGGCAACCATATTGAAAAATGGCGAAAAATAAGTATGGATCATAAATTATTATGAAACACCCTTAGAGTGCCACGTGCCAATTTTCAAAGGAATCAGAGCAAATTTTTCTGCCCAACTTTTTCTGCAAACACTTCTAAGGCGGCCATATTTGAAAAAGGCGAAAACCCGTTTTGCCCATATTATTATTATTATCAGGCACTTCTAGAGGTCTCCGCATGCCAATTTTCAATCGAATCAGAGCAAATCTCTTTCAGCAGCTATTTTTAACGTAAAAACTCTTATATGACAGCCATATTAAAAAAAGTGGCGAAAAAAATTGTTGACCCCAAATTATGATGAAGGACTCCTAAAGCCTAAAGCCGCACGCCAATTTTCAGCCGGATCGAAGCAAGATTTTCCTCGGCCGCCATTTTGAATTCATCATCTTGAATTTTTTAACACAGACAATTTACCACTGTTATACCCTCTATGACATTTCTTCGAGCACCTCCTACTTATCTTCAATAGTTTCCGTTATAGAAGACCATGAAATTTCTAAGGCATCCATCTTGTTTATTTGAATTTCGAACATTTTTACTTCCGACGGAAATTGCTTAGGGTGTAACCTCATAAAAGTGCACAAACATTCCGTTAATATATTATAGTTCTTGCAGGCCGTTGATCTCTCTTTCATGTTTTCCACATTCAGGTCATCTCATATTTGATTCTTTGCTTTGGAACCCATCCGCGTACAATGGTATAAATATCTTTTTATATATATATATATATGGTATGTATATATAGGGAAGTATGCGTTCTATTTCCATCAAAGGGCCGCTGAAGCGACCCGCGAGGGCTTCTTTAGAGACTTGTGTGAGAGGTTGGGAGTTTACATTTCTGTAGAGAATCTTCTTTGGTTGAGTTTGGATGGGAGGGAGCACGGTTATTGACTGCTTCAGTTTAGTTACATGTAGGGGTAGTTGATATGATCGCTTCAAGTCGTAACCTTAAATATCTCAGACAAACAAGTCGTAACCTTATATATCTCAGACAAACCAGTCGCATATTATTGACAGCTGCAAAGATTCAGAATAGTGAATTTCACTTCAGAACACTTTCGGTTCTGGTAGAACCTGACTAAGGTCTTTGACAATTTTTATTTGAAAGCCATGTATCCACTTTTGACGCTTTAGTCTGGCAGCTTCTGTGCTACTTGATGCGAAGCGCTATTTCAATATTTTTATTGTACTCAATGAACCCGTTCGATCACTATTCCCGTAACACATTTTAAATGATCTTTATTCGTTTTGGCAGAACAATTACCTAAATATCTACAGTAGTCAGTATCGATCTATCCAGCTACCCGCGTATAGTATGTTGCGCGTTGCGCTGGGCCGCTAAAGGGGCCCGCGACGCCTGTGTGTTATTAGGCTTGTGACCGTTTGCTGCTTGAAGTGTTTGTTTCATATATATATTTTTGTTAAGTTTATTTGGTTGTGAGGGAGTCAGGTACAATCTACCTGTATCCAATAGTTTCCGAGATACCGGCCCCCGAAATTTGTATGGCAGCCATTTTGTTTTCCGAATTTCGAATTTGTTTCACTCCACGTAGTAACTGCCCAGGGTGTGGATAGACATTTGTTTGGAGACCTTGAGTCAAGACGCATACTTTAGCCGCGCAGCTGGGGTCCTACTTAGGGTCCTACTTATTATTTTTTGTAGAATTCACATGTAATAAGATCAATAACGTCTCGAATTATAATAATAAAAAATCAACAACAATACGAATACCCCAAAATAAATATACATATTTTAGAGACAAGCAATTAAATATCTTCTTTTTCAATCTGATTGTATGTTCAAGATGTTCCAACATCTGAGTGAGAAGTCTGATGATGCTCATCATAGGTACCCAGCGGCGCAGCTCGTTATTAAGTCATACCAAATGACCTAATTATGCTGGGAGAGAGACGCGAAAACTTCTGTTGACGCTAAGCCTTTCCCAACTTGTCAGTAGCGCCTCCAGGATTCCAGATGCTAAGTCTCATACGTCTAATTGCTCTGTCTATAGTCTTTTGAAACAAGAAGACAAATACTTTAATTTTATTCGGATATCCGTATCTACTTATTTTAAACTTTCTTTAAAAAAGGTAACTGGTAGGAAATTAATTCATCGACTTCAACATCCATAACTTGAGAAATTGACACACGCTGCCAAATCGGAAATCAATCACAAAATGGCGTGGGAAGGAAAGACCCAACCCGCGCGCATGAAACGCGTCGCCCGCGTACCGACCGCAGAGTGCGCGGGTGACCGCGTCTCGCGCGGTTTGCGGCCGCCACGAGCAACCGTCTCCGCTGCGGGCGTAAAACGCATCGTGAAATGTGCTACTAAATTTTGCAAACATTTCTACATTCTTCGGAGACCGCGGTCCAGCTACCGCGGCGGGCGCGGGTGAAAACCGCTCCATGAGTTCTTAAAAAATATATAAAATAATATTTAAAATAGTGTTACGTCGTTTTCATGTCCTAAACCCTAACCAATCAAAGTCGTTAAGTTATGGTAGTACATAATAGAGTGTAAAGTTTGAATTGCACTTAAGCTAAAAAGTGGCGACATCGGTACCCGATCTTACATAGCCTCATTACATATCACGAAAGAAATCCAGTCTTGTCGATTGTCTATGATTAGTCATTTGGATTTGATACTTCGGCAGTCTCTGACAGGGGGAGAGCCAAACTTATTAAATGGAACGCTCTAAAACGCAGGCGTATGTATTCTCTACAAAACGGAGTCCCTGTGACCTGACTCCGATTGTTTGTGATGTATCCATACCGATAGCCGACTATCGCCATAAGTTACTTGGAATGAACTAGTTGTCCAGTCTGCACTTCGACAGATGCATAGAATACATGGCCAAAAATGTAACCAGGAAGCTTGACATCCTTTTCAAGGTGAGGTGTTACTTCACACTGGGACAGACAAAAAGCTTGCAGTTATAAAAAATTCAAATCGAGCATTTGATTTTGTGGATGTTAGCTTCAGAATGTTTACGGATCAAAGGTGGACCAACAGATTTGCGTAGGTATATTAGACCTCTGGACGTCCAGCAATATGAAAAGCTTTTGAGTATTAAATGTCATAGTTTCGGACAAGAACACCGGTCACGGAGGGTCACAGATCTTGAGATGGCTAGAATTAAATTTATCTCCTTTTGGTCTTCCTTTATTGAAATTCTTAACTGCTTTTATTAAGTTTTCCTTCATCAGGACGCAGTTTAGTTCCACTATTATTGGTTTTACGGCCGCTTTATTGGAATTAACGCGATATATGACCTTAGCGTCCGAGTCTTTTAGGTCTATATCAACCGATTTAGCTATAGTATCCGGTTTTTTATCATCTTTGGTCATCCTTGGTACATTGCGAACTTCTACTCCTGTCGCTTTATATTTGCGCTCCAATGTTTCAATTTTCTCAAATCTCAAGTTTGAATATATTTTCCCTTCTTCATTCTATCTTCCTCTAGACTTTGGAGCTTTTCCAAAACGGAGTCATATTTGTCAGAAATAAACTGCAGTCTCAATTATAACTCATTATTTTGCTGTTTAATCTTATTAAAGCGTTGATCTACCGATATTGACAAATTTGTAAACAACCCCCTCTTTACCGATTTAAGATCTTTTAGATCGTCATCTTGTGTACGTCTTGTAAAAATTAATGCAATACCAGGTTCCAGAAATCGATAGTGGCTAAAATTCACTTAAGTATTGAAGAGTCAACTCACTGGTCATCGATCGATGATTTTTGCGATGGTTATGATCATTATTTCTCAAGTATTTCTTCTATAACTGCATCTAATCCCGAGAAACCAATAAGTATAGAAAACGTCTGTAAATCTATGGTTATGTTGGAAACTGGCGAGATGGAAGTAGAACAGATAATTAATTTCTTGCGTGATAACTGCGCTTCTGGCATAGACGGAATTTCTTTCACCGTTTTATAAACACCTATTACATTCCTAATAAATTTGTGTTTATTTACCGGTGTGTTTCCCAATATACTTCAAAAAGGTGTAATAATTAATAATAAATAATAAATAATTAATATCCAAAATTATTTTGAATCAAATAATCTCCTGTCTGATAGGCAATTCGGTTTTCGGAACGCCAGGTCTACCGATGAAGCAGTTTACGATCTTCCTAATTATATTGTTAATGCTCTAAGCAATCATGAAAAGTGCGTAGCAATATTTATTGAACTACCAAAGGCCTTTGACATAGTTTCCACAGCCCGGTTATGTTCCAAACTGGAAAAAGTTGGAATTGGAGGAAAACCGCTTGGAATATTTCAGAGCTACCTTATGTTACCTTATGTTAATGTGTCAAAATTGACGATCTTCTGAGTCAGGAGCTTCCTGTGGAGCATGACGTTCTGTGGAACGGCAACATTTTGGGTCCGACTTTGTGTTTAGCCTATATCAATGATATGTGTTCCATTAATTTAATTAACGTAAGACTGGTGGCATTTGCTGATGACACGGCTCTCATTTTCACAGGTCGCACTTAGGGAGCAAGCATTTCAAGCTGCACAAATTGGCTTTAATTCGATAACCAGTTGCCTCACTAATTAAAAAAAAAATGTAATTTATTGACGCTGGATGCTGTCAAAATGAAGTTTTTGAAATTCTGTATTAATAAACCAAAAGCATTAGAACCGTTCAGCTTTAGTATAGTCGCCCATAATCACGCTTTAAATAGCAGCCTTCCTTGCGACTGTCCTAAATTAGAAACGGCTACCACTGTTAGATACCTGGATGTGACTTTAGATGAACATCTAAATTCTGTACCCCACATTGAAAACCTAACAAGCAGAATACGTAAACTAATATACGTTTTTAAGCACCTAAGACATGTAGCTGAACCGCGTATATTAAAAATGGTGTACCTTGCACTGTGTCAATCTTTACTGGTTTACTGCATAACATCACGGGGTGGTTCATCTAAAACTCATACACTTAGGAACGAGTACGCTCTGAGAGCAGTTGTAAAGGTATGTACGTTCAAACCTTTTCGTTTTCCAAAAAGAGCCTTATATGAATATTGTGAGGTATTTACAGTACGCCAAGTCTTTGTTCTCAAAACTATACTACGACAACACACTGCACCTCACAGTATATACATTCCGTCATTGTAATACAGTAGACGTATGAACGTCATTTCCCGGAGTGTTATTTATCTGTAAAACTTCTTTGAGCCTAAAGTTCTTTTACTTTTTGGAACGATTCTTATGCAACAAAAATAATAATCGTTATACAGGGTGGTCGAAATAGTGACGTCCAAAGAAATATTTTGGTGCGAGAGGCACCTAAATTTTATCTGAGCCACCTCCATGTACGTTCCGCGATTTTCCATAGTTTTCGAGTTATGATTTTTTTTCAATGGATTTTTTAAAATTTTCAACCGGATAAGCTCTAATTTTGTTTTTTCAATTTGTACAACAATTTTTCGGGTTTTTTTTTTGTAACTCCATCTTTATGAATTATACTTTAACGCACAAAATAATCGGCTTCGTAATATCAATGGAAGCTACGAAAGTTTTGACTTAAAGTGGAACATTCGCGTTCGAGAGAGTCAGACTTGAATCTTCAACTTACAGCTGCGCTAGACTCTAAACTTTCATTTTAATACAAAAAAAGTAGTACTTAATATGCCTTTATCTGGTGAAATCAGCCTCCAAAGGTACTGACGTCGAAAATTCCTACGAAAGTAATTTGATCAAAAAACATAAATTATTGCCTATTTTATCTTTCCTAATGTCTTCTAATCTTTAAATTCCTATTTTTTTTGTATTAATATGAAAGTTTTGAGTCTAGCGCAGTTTTTAAAGTTACTCAGGCATTATGAAATTGCCGGATTAGGTTTTTAATTTAAACTTAAAAATTGAAATCCGACTCTCTCGAATGCGAATTTTCCACTTTGAGTCAAAAGTTTCGTAGCTTCCATTGATGTTACGAAGCCGGTTATTTTGTGCGTTAAAGTATAAAGATTGAGTAACAAAAAAATCCCGAAACATTGTTGTACAAATTGTAGAGCCGATTCGGTTGAAAATTTCAAAAAATCCATAAAAAAATTAATAACTCGAAAACTACGAAAAATCGCGGAACATACATGGAGGTGATTCGGATACCCCTCAATGTGAGGCGCCTAATTTTTTTTTGGACGTCACTATCCCGGCCATCCTGTATATCGCTAATTTCGCAAAATAGTGAAATACGCCATGAAAAAATGTACAGTGGTTTCCAGAATCGGCGGCGAAAAAGGCTAGTGCTGACAAAATAAACAGTGTGGTTTTGGATTTTATTTCATCACTACTATGATCATCATCGTAATTTTATCATACTGTACTACCCCAACAGAAGGATATTTTTTAGTTATTAATAACTACCCATTTTTTCGACCGCCCGCCAATGACCAAGTTTATTAGCTACCTGTTTTCAAAGAGAAGGCTATATTAATTCTTCGAGAAATCATCTTTAAAATGTGTGATAATGTAAAACTTATTACCAGGACACGTTTGACGTGTATGTATGTACGGCCGGCATTGACCTCCATGTCGTTGACATTTCTGATTGCATAGAGGTACTCCTCCTCCGCCAGGACACGTTGATTTCCTTGGTGGTAGCATGGGTGGTGGTGTTTGCCGGCCCTGTTCTGATGGCGGGCCCAGTGATGGTGGCGAGCCCCAAGCTTGTGGCGAGCCCCGTGCTTGTGGCGGGCCCTGTGCTACCAGCGAGCCCGCTGCTGGTAAGGCGTTTAGCGATGAAATTCCCTCTGTGCCTTCTGAAGTCGTGTCTGAGAAAGGGCCCGACCCGCAGCACGGCGGCGGGGGCGACGCCGGGCAAGTACTACTGGTGCAGCACCTCTCTGGAGATACAACAATAAAATTGAAGCATTTATTGAAATTTAAATGGCAACAATTAATTCTGTGGTACTTACCTTCACCACCGTTTATAATTGTCCTTTCTTTGTTCTTCCTATCTTTCGCATAATCTCTGCTTCTACTTTTCGTCCGTTCTTTACCTTTCTTGCTTTCTTTATCTTTATCTTCCATTAAAGTTTCAATTGCGCGGCGACAGCATGGATTCAAATCTTAAGTAAAGACAAAAAGATGTCATAAAATACTATATCAAACAGAATGTTGCATACAGGGTGTAACCGAAGGGTGCAGAAGGAAATACAAGAACGCAGAGAGTCAAATAGCAATACTTTCGTTATTTACATAGCACTAGTTATTATTTTTTAGTAGAATTATAAGATTCTGTGCTAAAATTCATTCTTCCAAATATACAGACTGATTTTTTTAAATTGCTGTAGGTATGATTTGTCGCAACCGATCGCGCGATTCTTCGCGCTGAAAAAATATTTTAAGTAGTTTCCCGACAAATCACATTATTTTTCAATAAGTTTTCATTTCTTTGCTTTCGATTAATTTACAATGAAATTGAACAAATTAATCTCATTAAACAATTGACTTCTTAGAGACCTTGTTGCAAATTTATAAACAGTTTGGCATAATTATTAATAAGAGCTGCAATTTATTTATTATTTATATATTATTATTAATTTATATTCATGATCTAAACTAATACGTAAAAATAACTTCGTTGATTACTTTCAATTGTTTAATACGTCTTGTTTTGTAAATTGTCTCAAGGCTACAAAAATGAAACCGTTTCAAAAATATTACGATCTGTTGGGAAACTAGTAATATTTTTTCATTTGAAAATTTTAATTGTTCCCGCCATTTTCGACGACTTCAAAGTAGTGTGATAATAGTGACGTTAGCGCACGATTTTAATACCGATATCGACGAAAATTCGTAATTTCATAAAATTACATTAATTTAATTACTCATAATTTTCAACACAAATCAATTCCAATTCACTTGATAGCAACTCTCTACGACCTTGAATTTCCACTGCATCCTTCGGTTACACCCTGTATACAAGTGAAAGCCAATGTCACACTGAAGGTCTAGCGGTTGAGGTCCCGCCACAATGTAAACAGTGGTGCGAGTACCGACTGAACATCTGTCGATCTTCATAAAGGAGGACTTTTGGCGAAAGGGTTATGTGCCAAAGTTTCAGAGGCCGGTTACCGGACACCCGCATTGCTTCACGCGTCGCAGTCAATACGTGTAAATAATTAATTATGTTTCCTCATATTATTATGTATATTCATCTATAAGGTATGTATTTATTAGTCTTTATGTATTAATTAATTTAGTGTTTAAGGAAATTGATATGCAGAACATGAGGTCGACCTTTTGCTGTTCGAACGATGTTTAATTGAAAATAATGATGTAGGATATTATTTAAGAAATCCAACGCCTGCTTAATGTATTTGTTACGTAGTTAAATAGGTAGTCATCAGGTGCAACTGTTATAACATAATTGTAAAGCTGGCCACTTTAGTTGAATCCTGTCTTGATGGTGATAAAAACAACTTTTATATGGCAATTGATTCTTTATCGTCCGCCACAAAGGCGAGAATTGAGGCCGAGATTTAAATTTACAAAATCCTCTCCTTTTTTCATTACATTCAAACAAATTTTCTTTTAACCTTATATTTAAAAATTAAGCAATACTCAACCCGCACGATGAGTGATGTTTTTCCAGAAAGAAATACAAAATGATGTCAATACAAGAGTATACATAATAATACTTTTAAATTATGTATCGCAGAATTGCTATTGGCATCTAATCAACCTCCGTCAATTTACCTGACACTATGTTTTTTTACACCGCGCTTGTAGTATTCACTCATCTGCACCACATCAACTTTCATTAGGAGATGGCATTCTAAATACGTGAGCAATTAAGATATGTAGCATGCATCCACACGCTTCAATATGTGTTTTTTGTTCTCGTTTAATTAATTCTTGTCTTAGAAAAGCAGTGATAATCAAGACTCTCGTGCACTGCACTCATGGTAGTGATTGGCTGGCACAAAAACTCGAAATACGATTTTTGCTTTCAAGTTCTGTTTATATGGAGACGTTCAATATTCAAAGGTGAGACAATTATCGCTCACATGGAAGGGCGATAATCACGAATGTTTAGAGGAGGAAAGGTTTTTATATTCTTTCGATAATCGTATCTTCGAGACGAGAAACTCTCTCCATCTAGATGGGTCTTAACGTTAGTTAATTTACCTGTGCCCCTATTTTTGCACTGCTCTTGTAGTAATCACATAAACTTTCACTAATTTACACGTAATATTTTTCACGGCCATTGAAAAAATGTTTTTTTTTTTCACGGCCATTTGTGATATCAATTCACACGCATCTCATTCATGATAATTAATTCCTCTGTAATACTATTTTTTCTCCGCTCTTATAGTAATCACTTGCCTGTATCACACCAAATTAGTATAATTTACACTTAACCTTTTTTGTTCAGGGCTGTTGAAGAATGTCTCATTGTTTTTCATTGCTATTGTGATATTTAATCCCACTCATTATATTGACGGTTGCAAATTTACTAGTAACATTTTTTTCATCGCTTTTATGATCAATACTCACACTTATTACATTCATTTTCGCTAGTTTACATTTAATCGGTTCTTTTTTCACTCATATGCAACGCGTTAATATACCTGTAACAGTTTTTTGTCACTGTTGATGTGACATTGACTGACACGCACACTTTTGCTAATTATTCTAACAATACTTATTTTTTCTAACAGGGGTTGTGGTGTTATTTGCACGTTTCACTACAATTTTTACCTGTAGCTAACACTTTTTTCACTTCTGTTAAATTGTAAACATGTATGCTTTATTAAAACACAATAAACATTTTTGCGTGCATGAGACGCAGACTTGACAGTTCGACTTTTTCACCTTAAAATGTATGTAGTGAATCTTTTGGAACAAACTGATACGTACTCCAGTTTTCGAAAAATTACGAGGATTCAAAAACCCTGTAGCCAGACTTTACCTTTCACAAAATTTACAAAATTAAATCAAAACTACCGTTGACACTACTCTCTGTGTTCTACATTCTAAGCTGGCAAGTGTTTGTCATACGAACCCCGACAAGCATCCGGGGAGTTTGGCGGTTTTGGCGAAGGATCTGTGGACAATAGCGCTGTTATAAATGTCGTCTTACTAGGCCGCGCAGACTCTTTACATACGTGATGACGTGAGTGACGGAGACAGTGGAACGGAGGTACAACCTATGTGATTTTTAAACGTTCCTTCGTAAAAGTCTCGGTGATACTATTCGGCGGCTGATCACTGTGGTTTTTACATCGTGACCACTACTATCAGCCACCACTAGACGCGACTGGCGTGCACACATATGAGTCGCGCTGTTGCGTATGAATGCAGTTACCAATAGTGCGGTGGTAATGGAGCCATGTGATTTTACAAGTCGACAAACGACGCGGATGTCGTTCACCACATATAAATGGCGACGTAAGTACAGGGCATGCTCCTAGTTTGCGATGAAAAAACGCTAGAAGACCTTACACGCACAACACAGTTACAGTTAAGGCAACTGATAAGTTTCCATGTAATAATGTTATTACGAAATTGCGTTGGTCTTTGGGGGCTGCGTTTAAGTGCCATCCAAGTACAAACACGTGTAAAGATTTCAGCTCGCAGGGATGGATACATTTTTAATTAATGGTTTGTATACTTTGTTATAATCATAATAATGATGTCTATCATTGACTTACAATTATATGGACGTCGGGTCCGCGCTAAAAAGTGTCCGAACTTATAGGACGTTAAAACGTATACAGAGCGTCATTCACGCTTTAGTCTTCGTTTGTTCGACTGACAGCGAAGCAAGCAAAATTAGACAGTACTGCGATGACATTACAATTCAACGTTTTAGCTTTTTCATATTCCTTTACATGTCACTACGTTTTAATAGGTTGACTTGGGACATTTTTTTCGTGGTTTTTGTATTAGACCCGTCGTCCATTTATTTGTAAGTCAATGATGTCTATTCACAATTCAAATAAGGTTTAATAAAATTACTAACTGTCACAAGGAATTCTCAAATTTTGGCAAGGCGCTTGATTTCTGGGTCCACATCTGCCTTTTACCGAGCTTGATTGCTTTGAGATTCGCTTATCGAATGCACAACCAGGACGTATATCAGCCGGTATTTTCCCGCAACAAGTCTGCCCGGGGCGAGCGTCACCTGGCAGATTTAAAATTTTAACGAAACAGCAATCATTTTCATACTTGACAAAACTAATACATATTATATATTTTAATTCCTTAACTTATATATCTCGTAGGAAAGTAAAAATACAAGTAAGTATGCTGTGTACGCGTTGTTGTGTGAAAGCAAAAAACAAAATTTTGTATAGGATTTAATGCTTCTTACTTTCCCGTATGTATAAAATTTTGTTTAGACGCATTGACAACTCTAACCCGTAAAATTAGCTAGATTAGAATGTCACGTGTGTGATGGGACAGGATCAGTGAATTCGAGAATCGATGTTAAAATAGACTGACTGCACTTGTTCATCTACCTAAAAATGGAAATGTCATTACATAAGAATGAAAATAATAATCTCAGTACAGAGTACTAAAAAAACCGACCTCAAAAGTACGTGGAATTACGTGTATTTGCCAAGTTTTATTGGAATATCCCCAAGTTCGCCACTATACAGGACTTGACGCTGGAGATAATAAAAATAGGTTCTCACTACGACACTACTCAAAGTATATTGAGAAAAACGCTTTGAATGGAAGAAATAGCAAAATCAACCATTAAAGTAATTGCTCCTAAATTAAAGTTAGGCGCTATTTGTAAAAGTGAATCTTCATGCGTGAACAGCCACCCTTCGAGGTGGATGATTTTCTTCAAAATGAAATGGGACCACTGTGGAAGTACCCTCTTTCCAACAAAAAAAGAATCATGAAAATCGATTCACAAATACCGAAGGTATCGCGTAACATACATACAAAAAAAAAATAGAAAAAAAAGAACATAGTCGAATTGAGAACCTCCTCCTTTTTTAAAGTCGGTTAAAAATGATTAAAGGAGCAATATTGAAAAAAGTATTGTTCGTTTAGTTTCAAGAGTTTCATTCCGGTAGAGAGAAACCTATTGAGAGTTTCCTCTGTGAGCTTTTGCACCAGTCGTCATTACACATTACGTTTAATATTTGCAATTGGCATTGAAAATCCCATAGATAACGTACAGGTAGATATTATAATACGGAGATCTTAAAGGAGATCTTAATGAATGTATTGACATGGAACAGCCTACTTGATTTGAGAGTGAAGGGCAGAACAAAGTTTGTTCACTCAAGATGTAAGTCTCAAAAAGTATCTACATAAGCATAGGTATTACTATTATTGTTTTTATAATATCAAGTGACGGGACGAACAAGTCGTGTACCTGGTTGTAAGCTACACGCCTGTCCATACCATTTACAGTGGCACTAAGAATCTTCCGCAAAGATATGAGGGACACTGCCACTGCGCCTGTCACTCTGAGACAAGTCCCATGTGCCTGTAATTTCACCAGCCCTTACCCTTCAAAACCGGAACACAGTAATGCCCACATTACAGTTTGGCAACAGAAATGGTTACTGGACCAACTCTTTCACAAGGGGCTCTACTGGTACTAAAATTTAATTCATTGGCAATGGCGAGTTAAACATTGAAAAAGGTGTTTCCTACAAAAACAAGGTTACTTGTTATAGCCATTTATGTTGATGATTTCTTTATATTTAGGTCAAGTGAGCACCAAAAGATAATGCCATATAAATTGCTCAGTTGCAACTTTAAGACCAAATTGCTTGGATCTGTAAGATAAGCGTTTGGTAAGAAAATTGAAATTGGAAACAACGGATGTGACAAGTAGACACGGTATGAATACGTGAAACGGTTGTTAGCCAAGAAGATTGTTAAAAGATGATGGACTTCTATGGAGGTCAACTTTATCTGTCAAAAGCAGAAACAGTTGATACGCGGTTTGCACACGTCTGTGTGCATCAAACTGAACCAATATAACACTTGTTATAACGAATCGCATTGGCTCACGCAGGCGAAAATTATATTCAGGGTTTCTAAAAACTTTCGCCTGTTGCAATGTAAAATGACACAGGCACAAACAATAAAATGTGGTTTGCATAAAGCTGAATACTTATGCTCTTCTCAGGGAGTTTAGACAAAATTCTTACAAAAACTTTTTATTCCTGTCAATAAAACCGGTCATTATAGCCTGTCACCACTAGAACCTATAATTTGTAATAATTTTTATGATAGCTGTAGCTGTAGCTCACTGAAAATGGCAGATAATGAATATTTTGGGAGAATTCAACAGATCTTCCTTATAATTTTATGCAAGAAGGCCTTTAGGAGCAGACTTTTTTTGAAAAAAGTTTGAGTAACACAAAACATGAGTTCTTTATAAAATCTTTTGGTCTATTTTATTGTTGTGAAATTTATTATTCAACTACTGTTGTATTTTGTACTTTCATATTGTTTGACTTCAATTTCTATTTATGACTCTAGTAAGAGACAGTGTTGGAGGAAACCTGTAACAATACGGCTTTCATGAACGTTATCCATGACTATAATTTTCATTAAAATAATATTCTTCATTGCACATACAATTCAACAACAACACAGAACAGTAAATAACAATTTAAAAATATTACCGCCAAACTATTTCTCGAAAGAGCTATTTAAGTTAGTATTATAACATATACTTCGACGAGACCCCATCACAAACTTTTTTCCGACCGGCGTAACTTCATCGTGAAGTTAACTCGAAATTTTTTATAATTAATTTGTGATTTTAATGATCGTATGTTGATGAGTGGTAATGTAAACATGAAATATATTTATGGTTTTGCCGTATATAAAAAATATAATTTGTAAGACACTACTACAAAATATACGTCGTACTAATTTTGTGGACCTGTCATTCTAATCAAGCTAAATTTTACGTAGTATAAAAGATATTTAAAATTATACTCCGTAGTTGTATCCAGCACATATTTGGAGTGCCTTTCGCCCCTGTTGCGGCCACTGTATTTTCAGGCTAAGACAAAGTACGTATATTAAATACCTTCAAAGGCCCCCATAGGATTACGGTGAGGTGTGCGTGGTAATCTACATCCCACACACTGACTTGGATTAGGTCCACAAGATTTCTCTGACTTTGCTGTACAAATAAGATACAAGAGCATTAACTGAAGTCCAGAATTTTCCTCGGTCCGTCATCCGCCGCGCTGACCCGGACAGGACGATGCACACCTTACCTTACCGCATCAAGTGAACTCTGATTTTTATTACAATATGATAGAAATGAATGACACCACTTGCACTACACAGATCTAACCGCAAAATTACACACAAGTACCATTATTATTTCACATCCTGCACAAAAACCGCCTACGTAATCCATGAAACAAAAAGAAAACGAATCCATGCCGTGTTGTTTTTGCAGGTTGTGTATTTAGGTTTTTCTTGTGTTTTCCATATTCAAGGCATTAATGATTATTTTCTTCTATTTAGAAGCATAAATCCAATTTATAGCTGCGTCAATGTAATATGATTTTCACAATGTTTTTGTCAATTCAATCAATCAATTATTACTTGTATACTGAAACACGACCGACGTAAATACGGAAAACCTGGGAATAAAATGTGTAGAGCAGTTATGATCGCTTAGACAAACAATTTTTTCGTTGAATTCTGCTCCAGAAATCTTTTCGACACGCTTTTTCATGACAGACGATGCGACGAACGTATGTTATTTACACGAATGCGCTTAACATTGTAATGTCACGCCTGCTTGTAACTGCCATCAGTTTTATCTCAAGTCGACATGCAGCCTATTAAAGTAAGACAAAAATTACAAAATGAAACGCCAAAGGCTGGTAAATATATAAATCACTTGTATTGCGTTTCTATTTTACAAATACTTTTATTAAAACTTACCTCCTAAAATGTTTGCTCAACAAGAATTCAGGTCATTGTTACTATTTCCAGTGTTATTATTTTATGAATATGAAAAAGGAATGATAGTATGAATTACTTTCAAAACTAATTTAGTGTCCAGAACGCAGTCGAGAGTTTCGTCTCAAAATCGCACGTTACAGGAGATTGTTCTTTTAGCTTGTAGTGTGTTCATTAAGCTAACACTTGAAAAAACGGTGTACGTATAGCTTAAAGTTGATCTTTCAGCGATTCAACCATTACTTTCGGTTGCAGTTACTGTAAAACATATAGGGACGACACAGTAATAAACTAAACGCAATCGGAAATATGCATCCAAACTGGAAGACGTATCCTCGCATGAAACATGTCCGTGCAATTCTAGAAGAACTAATTTCCACGATAAAATTTTGCAATAATTGCACCTAAGGGAAATAATTGAATACGAGTATATGACATATGTTGCAATGATATTTACACAGTACCGTGTCGTACCCTATGGTATAAGTGAAGAATTGTGTTAAACACACAAGAGCTTGTAAAATGTAAATGTTCTTATAAAGATTCATACAAAGCGTTAATCATAACAATATATTTAAAATCAGGCTAAAGATAACTAACATCAACTAAAAATATCACCCCATGGCAGTGTTGTAATAAAACTTCCCAAAACAGTACTGACATTACACTCATTTGTTTGGGGTTTACTAGTCTGGGCTTGACAATCCCTACTACTAGATTTAAGAGCAACGTGAGCACACATTCCATACTTTGATATCCTCTGTCGAGGTACTGAAGCAACGCGCTGTTTACCGCGTAGCGTCGGCCTCCTTATCGGCATTCGTACCCATGAGTTGTAGGAGGCTTGACATGGGACTGATATTTTCTTACGAAGTCTACGCTGTTTACAATGAACATTAGGTGGTAATTGCTGGCAAATTTTCGACTCAGCTTGACACATATCTTGATGATTTCTAACGCGAGGTAATAGATGCTCTTGGTGCTTATAACCATGCAGTTCATGTTTTGAAAAATTTACGCTCAGCAACTGTGGCTTTCTATTTTGTATTAAAATCTGTTGTACTCTACTTCCTGAAATCACTTTGGACCGTACAGTCGGCATACGACAGCTCAATTTATCAAAGGGACATGATGATTGCAAGCTAGGTGGTTTCAAGCCAAAGGTTGGTTGAAATGCTTTAGGTAAGGGTGGGCCTTGGCAAGGCGTCCGACCAGCTGGACATGATATTCTGGCGCCATGTTCAGGTTTTTTTCTTATAGCGCATTTCACTTTGTCGAGTGGACATGAAGAGCTTGGACTGGAAAAGCCGAGACTTCCCATTCCAGTTGCATTTCTAGGTGCCATTCCAGGTGCCATTCCAGATGGCATTCCAGATGCCATACCAGATGGCATTCCAGATGCCATTCCAGATGCCATACCAGATGGCATTCCAGATGCCATTCCAGATGCCATTCCAGATGCCATTCCAGTTGCCATTCCAGATGCCATTCCAGGAAAGCGTTTGGGAGGGCCTTGACAGGGCCTTCTACCGGCAGGGCATGCCGGCCTAAGGTTTGGAGGACGTGGGGGGGGAGGAAGCCTTTTAGGACAGCCCTTTCTGTCATGTGGACATGATGATTCCACATTTGGTATGCCTGGTATCTGTATATGAGGCATATTACAAGGTGCTCTACCGGTCGGACAAGTCGGGATATCTTCATGACACGTCTCACCCACTGGACATTCTACGCACGGAGACTCGCCACGTGGACACGGCTTTTTACAAGTTGTTTGTTTTTGGTTAAAGGGACATTTGCCGTAATCTTTTGGAAGGTATTGCGGTGGTATTTGGGAGATATCTGTTTTACAGGATATTCTGCCTGATGGACACGGTACACCTCCGGAATCCGGGAGACAGGGTAAAGGACACTGCTCAGGACAGGGTGACTTTCCGCGTGGACATGGCCCCTGAGGTTTCAAATCTTTATATTTACGTGGTTCGACTTGTTCCTCTGCACTTCCATCTACAGGCTCAGATGGAGGTGGTGGAATAAAGCAAGATATGGGACAATGATCCGGACATGGTTCTACGCCAAGTGGGCATGGCATTAACACGCGTTGTTGTCGTTTCTTAGGAGCAAATTGTGGATTGTCATCAGAAATCACAGCTCCTTTCACACCTAAACAGGACTCCGTGTCTTTGCCAAAACACGGGTCGCTGGTTGATTTATCAGCACAGTTTAAGGGACAAGTTTCAGGGCAAGGGGCATCCATGTCAGCTGGACAATACAAAAGAGATGATAATACGGTGCTAACACTTGGATGATTAATAGTCCCATCGGCAGGCTGTAACTTATCTAAAAGCTTCAGAACTGAAGTTTTATTTTGTGGATATAATGCTGAATAAGGCTCTCCATAAAATTTTTCGTACACAGGTTTTTGGGCAGATGGATATTGGGTGGAGTACGATTTGACCTTGACCAATGGCTTGTGTTGTAAAAAATGTAGGCGTCCGAAAAAGGAAGAATCTGTCGCGATTTGTTCAGCATCTGTAAAACAAGGTAAGGACAAAGGTCTCAACAATGTGTATTTTCGCTTGAACTCAGTCCATGAGCCATCGTCTATTTATGTTTAGGTTCTTTGATTTACTTTTATGAATGTCATCTCATTCAGTTTCCAATGCAATGTAAGACTATGATGCCGATATTGGTCATGACATTAACGCACGTGAATATCGTTTTTTGGGGAATAATTCTGTTATGCTATCAGAAATTGCAAGTATCTAAACATGAATCGGTATCTTTGCAAAAACAGGGAACACTGGTTCATTTATCAGAACAGTTTATGGGACAAGGCCTGGGATAAAGCACAACCACTTCCTTACCTGGGTAGTACAATAGAAATGATAATAAGGTGCCAATAGTTGGATGATAGGCAGTCATATCGAGGAGTCGTAACTAGGGCATGCAAACCGGTTACCCGGTTAACCCAAAAAACCGCGTAACCGTCCATTTTGGAACACGGTTTTCAGTATTTCGGGATTTTCGGTTTTGTCTTTAAACTATTAAAGCGTAAATTCGTAACTCATAATATCATCGTGTCCTAGTTAATAATGATAAATAAACGTTAATTAAATACTAGGAACTCGGGAATTACAGGACAGCGACAGCGTCCTCCAGGCGGAGACTGGTAAATTTTGGGGCAACAAGGAGTGAGCGAGGTGCGCTAGGGAGGTGCGCGAGCAGCAACAAATCACCGAGTCACCTATGCTCTTGGCAGGCTTTTCAACTGAAGCCAAAGCGGCTAGTTGGTATTCAGCAGAACTATCGTATAGGTGGCAGTAGTAGACTATATAAGACCTGTTCTGTGTTTGGTACAGCTTTTTTAAGCAACTTTCCCGGAGTAAAGTAAGAAGAAAGGATGGGATGTCAATCTTTTTGCTGCATTTTTGGCCATGGATTCTAAGTATCTGCCGAAGTTCAGACTCAATAACAGATTCGTTCCCAGTAGCTGGCGATAGTAGGCTATCGATAGGATATGGCACTGATAGTCGAAGTTCGGTCATAGGGACTCCGTTTTGTGGAAGATACACACGCCTGCGTTTTGCTAGCGTTAAATTTCATAAGTTCGGCATCGCCCCAATCGGAGACAGCGGTAAGTGTCAAATCCAAACGACTAATCATGGACTGTCAACAAGACTGAATTTGTTTTTCACTGATCTTTCATTGATTAAGTACCAATCTACCAACTGCGCTGTCTTTAGCATACCCGAAGATTCCTCGAATTAACATGCCGTTGATGTGCGAAAGAAGAGTCAATGAAACGCCGTAATATAATATATATATATACGAGTATATATATGTATGTTTTATATACCCACATTTTGAAATTTGAGTTTTGTGATTACCTTGTATGGACGGGACACAATATGCAACTCAGGAACACAGTTACACAGCATTATTGCTGGAATTTCATCTGGCCCGCTAACTTGAATTAAGCTTACACTCCCTTTGCGAACTGGCGCTATGGCGCAGCCAGTCTGGTATAAAGTAGGTGGTAGGTTCCTTGTGGCATCCAGACACGCATTATCTGCAAAAAGTGAGGCAAAAAGATTCGCCTTCATTTTCGCAGTATGGGTTAGCAAGCCATTCAGCCTCAGCAGAGGAGATAAGAACGATGATTAAAGTTGGTTTCTATAGCTTTAGTCATGGACCAAAGACTTGTTACCTGCTGGAAAAGAGACAAGCTTGGCCCCTATACGGCGCACATGGTCGAACTTGACCTTGCATAACACGCATTTGTACTTCTTGGTGGTCTTATTAAAGGCTTCTTCAGATTCCAAGTGTTCGGGTTTTGCGCAGTCAAGTATCTGCCTAAGCTTAGTACGCGACCTCTTTCTGTGCTTCTGAACGACTTCAGTCAGCGCTAATCCATTGATGAGTTTGGGATCCATTGGATACATCAGAGTATGGTATGTAATACTCCACACCCAAATGCTAGACTTCGACTACAGCATCAGCACAGCTCGACAAGTTCCCTGAAGTAAAGAAAGTCTGCCAGAGATATGAAGCAAAGAAATGTCGCATTTCGTCCCAATCCCTAACCTATTGTAATAATAACCCGTCTCACACCTAGTGGCCCTAGTGGGCCCTGATTGCTTTGAAAAGTCAATGGTCGGAAGTACCTAATGGGGAACCCACAACTACAGAGTATGGGTCTGGATCAGTTGTTAGCAGCAGGTCCGAGCAATGAGCCCTACGAGACTCAATACCTAGGATCCTGGTTGCGCTACTGACAAGCTGGGAAAGGCTTAGCATTCGCTTCTCCCTCCCGGCATGATCGATTATCTGGTACAGGTTTCTTGACAGCATCTGGCATTCTTGACGGTGAACATTAAGTACCACAGAATGATTCAACAGACTTCTCATTCAGATATTGGCAAAAGAAGATGTTTGAAATCTAGTCTCTAAATATGTATATTTATTTTAAGATATTAACATTGTTTTTTTTAAATTAAAATTCGAGATAATTGATTTATCTCATCTGTGAATTCTATAAATAATAAAAATAATAATCATAACACTAAATTGACGTTTTTTTAGTTTTCTGACACTTTTAAGGAATTGTTTGGGAGATAACAAATAACCGGGTAACCGAGAATTAAAAACCGGAAGAACCGGTTTTCAAAATCACGCGGTTTTTGCATGCCCTAGTGTAACTTATCTAAAAACCCGTGAGCTACACTTTATGTTTCTTATTTAGATAATTGAGGATTCTCGAAAATCGATTTAGTTTGTGGTCACAACCACTGGCTTATGAAGAAAACCATTTAAACGTCAGAAAAAAGAAGAGATATGCCATGACATAGTTTAATTTTAAGTGTAAAAATATTTCATCTCCGGCGCATTTCATTTTCGCCTCATTCATTTACAAAGTGGCTGTCGAAATGGGGTATATGTAAGTCTGAAAGTACCTTACCTGGAGGAGCCATGAAACTTGTAGTACCTGCGGCCTTAAGAATTCTTTTTAGACGAGTTTGAGAAGCATATGGAGACATAAACAACGACAAGTCTTTAGAAGAGGTTTTTTCTGGCTGAGCTTGAAGATAAAACCTTGAAGTTAAAACCTTAAGTGGCTTTATTTCTGGTAGAACCTTAGAGGCGCGCGAGGGTATTCTTGCAGCCTGAGGCTTAGAACGTATTTTTGTTGTTAGAGCACCAGTAGCACATGAAGGTGCGTTTCTTGATGGAGCGTTGGGCGTGGTTACAACTTGAGCTTTTGTTGATCGTAAAAGCATTGTTGCAGACAGAAACATAGGTGGCGTTACTTCTGGCGGAGTTTTGGTATCACGTGAAGACATTTTTGCAGTCGGAGCCGTAGAAGACGTTATTTGTGGTGGAGCGTTGGTATCACGTGAGGATACCCTTGCAGCCGGAGCCTTAGAAGACGTTATTCTAGGCGGACCTTCAGTGGCGTGCGAAGGTACTTTTGCCGATGGAACTTTAGATGATGTTATTTCAGGCAGAGTTCCTGTAGCTCGTGAAGGATCTTTTACATAAGGAGCTTTAGATGATGTAATTTCTAAGAATGCTTTTGTAGAATGTGAAGGCACTTTTGCCGATTGAATTTTTGATGGTGTTATTTGTGGCGGAGCTTGGCTACCACGTGTGGATACTTTTGCAGTCGGAGCCATAGTTGTTATTCGAGGTGGAGCTTCAGTACCGTGTGAAGGCACCTTTGCAGATGGAGCTTTAGACGATGTTATTTTTGGCGGAGCTCCGGTAGCTCGTGAAGGCTCATTTACAGAAGGAGCCTTAGAAAATGATATTCGTGGCGGAGCTTCAGTAGCGTGTGAAGGCACTTTTTCAGATGGAATTTTAGGTGGCATTACTTCTGGCGGAGCTTTGCTACCACGTGTGGACTCTCTTGCAATAGGAACCTTAGAAGACGTTATTCGTGGTGGAGCTTGGCTACCACGTGTGAACACTTTTGCAGTCGGAGCCTTAGAAGATGTTATTCCTGGTGGAGCTTCAGTAGCGTGTGAAGGCACCTTTGCTGATGGAGCTTTAGACGAAGACGTACCTGGTGGTGGGACTGATGGAAGTTTGAATGGCGTTACTTCTGGTGGAGCCCCGGTAGCTCGTGAATGTTCTCTTGCAGCTGAAGCTTTTCCTGATGGAACTTTGAAAGGCGTTACTTCTGGTGGAGCCCCGGTAGCTCGTGAAGGTTCACTTGCAGCTGAAGTTTTAGGAAATGACATTTCTGGGGGTGCTTCTACAGAATGTGAGGACGCTTTTGCAGATGGAACTTTCCATGTCTTTACTTCCGGTGGAGCTTCCGTAACACGTGAGGATTCTTTTGCAGTCGGAGCCTTAGAAGATGTTATTCTAGGCGGAGCTTTAATAGCGTGTGAAGGTACTTTTGCCGATGGAACTTCAGATGATGTTGTTTCTGGCGAAGCTCCGGTAGCTCGCGAAGGCTCTTTTACAGAAGGAGCTTTATAAGATGTAGTTTGTGGTGGAACTTCAGTAGCATGTGAAGACGCTTTTGTGTGTGAAGGCACTTTTGCCGATGGAACTTCAGATTTATTTGTTATTCCTGGCGGAGCTTCGGTAGCATGTGAAGGCACTTTTGCAGATGGAACTATAGATGGCGTCATTTCTGGTGGTGCCCCGGTAGTTCGTGAAGGCTCTCTTGCAGAAGGAGCTTTAGACGATGAAATTTCTGGGGGTGCTTTTGTAGCATGTGAAGGCACTCTTGCAGACGGAATTTTAGAGGGCGTTATTTCTCGCGGAGGTCCGACACCTCGTGACGACTCTTTTGCAGTCGGAGCCTTA